AGAGAGAGAACGAGACGGGGTGGGATGGATGGATTGTTTGGGGTTGGTCCCACAAATGTGGGTTGATGGTGGGTGGATGGAAAAATGTCCATAATGCACATGTGAATTTAAAAATGTTAGATTTTTTCATTAATTTTATTTTTTTAATTTTTACTGTTGGATCATCAAAATTTATGGCTAAGATGTATTCTTATTTATTGAGAACCTTCTCACAAGAATCTTACACACACACCACACACACTAGTGCGCATCTCGTGCGATGCACGAATGAGTTTGTTACTTAAAACCTTTTTAAAATTTTATTTTAATTATAATTATTAATATTTAACACCTCATTATTGAAAGAAATGAAACACAAAATACGAAAAATTATATATTATTTATATGAATAGAATGAGTCCCCACAACCGAACCAATAGCATCTAACACATGATATATAATAAAATTAATTATATGCATGGTCATGATTTTTATATTTATATTTATATATATATATATATACAATAAAGATGAGATATTTAAGATTCGTCCAATAAAAATTTTTAATTCGGATATGAGATAAAAAATAGCGAACATATTTTGAAAAGTGTAAAGTAATAGTATTGCCGTGCAATTATTGGATTCAACACCAAAAATTAAATGAGGAATCCACATATATGAAATTCTTATAAGATATATATTGTTGTTAGTTAGATAAATACAAAAATGAATCAAACTATATAAAAGTGTACAAAAAAGTTGGTACTCCAACGTATTGATAAATAATATTTATACATTAAAAGTATGAGGTCAATATGTAATATAAATTTGTTAATTTGTTGAAAATGTCTTACGAAAATTAACTTTGTAAAAACACGTGAAACATGTCTATATAAAATATTAAAAGCATCTAAAATACTATATTACATGCGTAAAAATATGTAAATTATTATATGGCATGTGTAAAATATCTAAAATGTTCTATATTATTCTAAAAAAATGTGTCAAGTAACCTAAATTTTTCTAAACTATTATTAAAAAAACATATCGAAAAAAGTATTAAATATTATTCTACATTTATTTATGATGTTCAAAATTTTTTAGCTATTAAATTTATTTTAGTAGGTGATGTTGATCTCTGTTAACTCTTCAACTTAAAGAGTTCAATTCCTATAAATCAAAATTCTCCTGTAATATTTATGAAAATTGAGCTTTTAATGATTATGTATCGGAATTCTTCTCTTGACATTTTTAAAGCTACAATTTATACCATATTTTAATGAAACTTTTTATATTGTTTAGGACTTTGTCTTTNAAAAAAAAGAGTAAAAATAAGATAAGATAAAATTGGTACATATACAACTAAATAAAATAAAATAAAACTGCTTTATATAGAACTATTCATTATCTTTGTTGTATAATTAGATTTTATATTCAAACAAATCATCGATTGATTTTATATTAAAAATTAAGTATTATTAAATTAACATTAGTATATATAAAACTATTCATTGACTTTGTTGTATGATTAGATTTTATATTCAAAATTGAATATCATTTAATCTGTTGTGTGAGATAGATGTTATATTCAAATTTTAAATCTCATCAAATTTGTAAATATGTTGTGTGATTTCATCTTATCCAAATATTTTCTTTATGAGTATTAGTTCTTATGATATCTACTCTTAACTATCTTCTTATGATTTATTTCCTTTTCCTATATTTATCCTAACTAATTGTAACTCACTGTTCAGTGGATGTGTACAAAAAAATATCTACCAAGAATCCGCATAATATGAGATTTTTTTCAAACTTTAAAAAGATTTTTTAATTAGATAAACATGGACGAAAAATATCATGACTTAAGTTGACGAATCCAAAATATAAAAATAATTTTCCAAAATTAACATTCTTTATTAGATGAATACGAATTTTAGTTGTGACTATAAGATATGAGATTTGTAGTTAGATAAATATGGACAAAAAATATTTAACAATATTGGAATGACTTTTTCGATATTCTACAAAAAATTTCTAAACGTTTTATTTGATTAATGATTGACGGAATTTTTGTAATCAAGATATTTGACCGGAATAATCTAAGGATATGATTGACCGAATTTTTTGGAATCAAAATTTTCACAATTATTATTTAAAATCTCATGTTTTTCATAATTTGAATTTCAAATTCAAAGTTACCCGCTCATTATTGAAAAATTTCCAAAAAAATTATCAATAGTAGTAAATCATTTTTTTAGGCAGAAATTTGTACGTTATTTTAAGTAAAATCCTCTCTTATGATATATTAATATATATAAATACTGAAGACTCGATCAATCATATTCTGCAAAATGAATTCAAATTAATGAAATCTAGCTACCTGCATATGGTGAAATTTCCTCTACACGTTCAAGATTTTGGCCACCCTCCAAAAATTTATTACCATCAATCATAAAATAATCTTGATTTATGCATGATAATCCCCATCACAGATTATCATGATTAGTCACATTTCCCCAATTAGTAAACAATTTTTCTTCTTTTTCTTCATTCATAGCTATAAAGGAATACAAGGGCAAAGCCCAAAATCACATCAACCAGAAACCAATTTACACCAAAATCGCCAGTGATGGCTGCTTTCCTAGTCCTCGTCCTCTTCTCACTTAGCCAATTGGCTTTCCTCTCCTCTTCGAGAGATCAATTTATTCTTCCCAAATCAAACTTCCCGGCTTCTGAAAATACTTATGACAAGCAAATTTACTCTAACCAATTTGTATTCGACTCCAAACCAATTCGTCCCTATTCCAAACCCATTCGCCCAGATTCCGAACCTATACGCCGAGCTCCAAATTACGAATACTTAAATCCAAAATCGGAGTCCATAAACATTCCGGAGCCAATTCGTCCCTCATACCGAAACTCAGAACCAATTAATTCAGGCTCGGTTTCTGGATACCTACTCCCAGAATCCAGAGGTTCAAATTATGGACCAATACGTGAAGAAGGTTCAGTTTCGGAATATCTACTTCCGGAATCCGAATCCGTACGTCAAGATTCAGAACCTATGTGGTCGAATTCGGAGCCTATACGTCCTGGTTTAGAGGACGAATTTCCTGAATTTAAAGCCAAACGCAAGGGTTTGGATACTATTCACCCGTCATTGAACTATTGATATCTGTTGTACTGATCTATATTGTTATTAATGACTTCTCGACCATGTAATAAATTTTTAAGACGAATATGATTTTGAAATCAGTTATTGTTGTGGATCTCGATTTTATTTTAATTAGTAATCATCTTGTTCACATGCACATCGATCTAATTATATTGTGTTTTTTAGATTTTCAACCTACANGTAATATATAGTTCATGTTGGAAAAAATTATATACCCTAAATATTATAAGCTATGTGTATGTATATAATCAAAATTTTAAATTAGATAATGGACAATGTCCACATATGTAAATAAATATTATAAGCTATGTGAATCAATATAATTAAAATTATAAATTAGATAATGAACATATCACATTTCTAAAATTTGATCATTACTAAAAATAAAATAGTATAAACATAATTTTTTTAACTTAGTTTTATTATTATTATTATTATTATTATTATTATTATTATAATAGCAAAAATGGTTTATAAGATTTCAAAATGGTTTAACTATGCTATTAGAACTAACTAAGCTAATTTTTCTTAAAAGGAAATCATTTCATGAGAAAAAAATTAAAATAAAATATATAATAGTGATTTCAGAATAAAGAGCTTGAATAAAAAATCTTGCAATAGATATTTATGTAATTCTCTATAATATTTAGTGTGCATTATGATTAGCTAGTATTAGTTTTAACTATTATATAATTTAATAACGAAAAAAACTGATTACACTTAATTAAAATAATTATAATGGTTTTATTCCATAATTAACTAAAAACTTGGGATGAAATTTTTTATGTTTTTCCAACAAATGAAGAGACCATCTTTACACACACACATATATATATATATATATATACACACATTATATTTGTGTGTGTGTGCGTTAAATTTTATTTTAGGAAAAAACCACAAATGGTATAGTTTCATTTTGAATTGTTTAATAATCATAAACATATAAATACACATTATTGACAAACGGGCAAAATTTCAAATATGATATAGTAAGTTGAAAGTTGTCAACAAACAAGACATTATATTGTCCCTCACGGAAAAGAAACAAGTAGTTGACAATTTGGTCGAAAAAGATATATTAATCATCCCATCCGGATAAAATGCTGACGTGGCCAGCTTAGGTAATGACGTGGCATTTAAACTTTCAGTAACTTTCTACATTTGTATTTACGTGGATGCAAATGTGGACCGAGAGGTTAAATTTGGATAGAAATTGCAAAATCATTCCTCGATTCATATTTCATTTCAATCGGACAAAAACCCCTAGAACTTCCCTGCATCAATTTCGACCTCAATCACTCACATAATGAAGAAAAACTAACCTTGATTACCTTCCAGCTCATATAACTCACATCAATTTCGTGCTTTATCAATCAACCACTCTCATAATGAAGAAAAAAACCTAATCAAAATTTGAATCCCATTTTAATGGTAGCAAGAGGCCTTCACGTTGCCGACTACAAGATTGAAATAGGCTCTTGTGGTAAAGATTGTCTTCCAGCTCCAAGATACAGTATGTTAGATAGTGGTAAAGATTGTCTTCCAGCTCCAAGATACAATATGTTAGATAGTATGTTAGATTGTGGTAAAGATTGTCTTCTTCCAATGAATTTTAAAATTGATTATGTTTATGTTTTTTCTGGAGAAAAGAGCCAATGTTGGGAAGTAACATGGTTGTGTATGGAATCTTGGACCACTTTTATTGCATTCCATGTATTGTTTAATTTTAAAGTGTACAATATTGTCTTGGATGTTTTTTCATTGCATTTTTTTATTGTTACTGTAGGTACAACTAGTAAATTCTTCACAGTTACCCTAAAATTTAGGAGTATTTTTTATGTAGGGACAAAACATTATGTATATCTAGGTAGAAATAGAATATTGTTTGACTATGTGGATTATTAAATGGTCAAACTTGCTGACTTTAATTCTGTGGCAGAGTTTAAAGGGTGCAAAAACCCTTCGAGACTGCACACATATGTTGGTGGCGGGAGTTTCATTTTACTTTCAACATAAAGTGATCTTCAGAGTTTGTGGCAAAGGATCAATAGCATTTTGGAGGGTAGTTTGTTTGTTGAAGAACGAAGTGAAAATATAGAAGTTGCTAATGGAAATGAATTTGAAAAGGAGATTGATGAAGAAGATGGTGATGAGGCTTTTGAGTGAGAGTATGATAGTGACAAGTTTGATGACATCTTGTTTGATAAAAATGTGGATTCTGAGCCTGATGGTGAGGTTGGTTGTGAGGATGAGGATGAGGTTGAGGCTGAGGAGGGTGAGGTTGAGGATGAGGCTGAGGTTGAGGAGGGTGAAGGTTAGGTTGAGTTTGAGGTTGAGACTGAAGTTGGGGCTGAGTTTGAGGCTTAGGCTGAGGTTGTGAATGGGGTTGAGGAGAGTGTTGAAGATTGAGACCAGATTGTGGATGAGGCTGCTGAATCTATGGCTAAGAAGGGTGGGGTTGAGGCTGATGGTTGGGTTAGTGGTGAGAGTGAGGAGAGTGATGATGATATTTTTGATTGGGAGTATGATATGAAGGCTGAAAAGGTAAATGACAAGATAATAATGATAATGTGGATTTTTATACTGAGTGGTTGGATGGTAAGGGTGAAGGTGTTAAGAAATGTTTCAATGATGATGGTATCTCAGTGTTTTATCATTATTTGAATTGTGCTTTGTGCTTTGAGATCGAAATTGTCTTGTTTGAGAATTTTCGTAGTTAATCTCGTAGTTGATAATCAAATCCAACCAGTTGAATTAGAGTGCTTAGGATTTAATTTCTCTTTTTGTAATTGAATATACGTACAAGATAATCCGGCCAACCTTCCTTGAGACACGACCCGGTGTTCGAATCTCTCGATTCTACTCCGGCAAAAATTACTACAATAAAATGGCGCCGTTGCCGGGGAAGGTTTAAGAATTATCTTGTGCGCTTATTCTCTTTATTTCTGTGTTTCTTTTGTTTCTTTTTCTTTGTTTAGGTGTTAGTTCTTTCTTTGTTTCTGTTTTTATTTTATTTTCTTTCATCTATCATTGGTGCTCGTAACCCGTTGTTTGTTTGAGTGTATGCGTACCAGGAGTGGACGTAAACTATCTCCAATCAACAACCCCTTCAACGAAATCCTGACAGAGCTGCTAGACGAGCTCACTCTCGAATCACACGAAGAAGGCGAGCATTCACCAGAATCATCCGAGGGGAGTAACTCAGACATGGCTGAACAACAACCACCTCACAACATCCTCAGAGACTTGGCCCAACCCACGATCGGGCCAATCACTTCATGCATCTGGTTGCCACAAGAAGCTCGGAACTATGAGCTTAAGATGATCCATTACAACCAGCTACCGTCTTTCCACAGGCTCCCCAACGAAGATCCACTCCACTTTCTTAGGGAGTTTTACAATGTCCTCCAGTCGTTCCCTCTACACGGACTGACCGAGGACCAGTTAAAGATGCGGTGCTTCCCGGAGACATTGAAGGACCGGGCCAAGGCCTGGCTCATGACCCTCACACTAGATTCTCTCACAACTTGGGCCGAAGTCTACTCGAAATTTGTTGGGAAGTATTATTCCCATCAGAAGACCCAAGACATCCGGTCCCAGATAGTCTCTTTTGCTCAACTGCCAAACGAGCCTCTTCATGAGGCCTGGGAACGATTCAAGGACTTCCAACGGCAGTGCCCACATCACAACCTCGCTCCAGGGCTATTAGCGAATTGTTTCTACGACTCCCTCCACCAGAACCTGTAGTTTATGATGGATAACGCAGCCGGAGGGGATATTGGGGCCAATACAGCTGAAGAGATGATTGTGATCTACGAGACGATGAGTGTCAACTCATCTCAGAAGAGCATCAGAGGGAAGAGATCCACAGTGAATGAGGTTTGTTCGAGTAATAATGCCATGGCCCAGCAGTTAGCCGAGCTCACGGAGCAGATGCGGCTACTGAATGCTCGAAGTTCCTCACCGATTCAGACGATGGCAGTAAATGCTTGTGGAACATGTGGAGTACAAGGACACAGTTCTGAGGTGTGCCCTATGGCTCTCGAGCCAAGTTATAGAGGGCAAGGAGCTGAGGTAAATGCTGTGCAAGGATATCAGAACCGGCCCGGAAATGACCCGTACTCAAACACGTACAACCCTGGGTGGAGAAACCACCCAAGTTTCTCCTGGTCTAACAACAACTCCCAGCAGCCGCCTCAACCTAACTTTGTCCCCCATCAGCAGCAACACAGGGGACAAATGTTAAGGTTGCCAGCGCCAGAAACCGGACCGAGCCCGTCAAACTCAGATGAGAAGCTGGATAAGATCCTCCAGTTTTTGGCCGACCAGCAACGAACCATGAACAACGAGGCTTCCATTAAACGCCTCGAGACGCAAGTGGGACAGTTGGCCACACGGGTCGGGACCATCGAGACTGAATGTAACAAGGGAAAGTTGTCGAGTCAGCCTGAGCATGCAAATTCAGTTACAGTGCTTATGCCCGAGCAAGAAGAGAAGGCCGTGGTTAAGGAGCAAAGAGTGGAGGCCTCGAGGACACTGCCTATCAAACCAACTTCGCACAAGTCCCCTAATCCCTACAGACCGAAAATTCCCTTCCCAAGTCGACTGTTGGAGGAGAAGGATCGCACTATGATTCGGGACCTTCATGCGATGTTGGCCAAGGCCAACGTCGACTTATCTCCTCCCGATGTGTTGAAAAAAGTTCCTGCTTATGCACGATTCTTCAAAGAAGTGGCCTCGAACAAGAAGAGGTTTGAGAATGGTGAAGAGGTGATTATCTGTGAGGCGGCGAGTGACTTCTAGCATGACTTGCCGAAGAAAGAAAAGGATCCCGGAGGCTTTGTGATCACTATGGCCTTCGGGAATGGGGAAGAGACATCGGGATTGCTTGATCTTGGAGCAGGCATTAACCTCATGCCACTTGCAGTCTACCTCCGACTCGGGCTAGAAAACTTGAAGCCCACTGACATGCGCCTACAGCTGGCTGATCACTCATACCGTAGACCAGAAGAGGTTGTGGAGGATGTGCTCGTACGAGTAGGAAAGTTGATAGACCCCGTGGACTTCGTAGTGCTCGATGTGGGGAACGTGGAAGAGAATGGGAAGCAGCACTCCATTCTCCTTGGACGACCATTCATGGCGACCACTGGTACTGTTATCGATGTGAGAAAAGGGACGGCGAGCATGGCAGTGTTAGGCGAGTTCATCACTATTTCTGTTCGTGAGACCCAGACTGAGTCGCGGGCGAATTTGGTGGAAGAATGCATGTCCATTTGGGTGATAGAGCAGATTTTTGATGAAGCGTGTGAGAGAGCTTACGTGAAGAGGTCGTTATAGGATCGAGCTTGTGTTGAGAAAGTATGTCGTACTGACCGCCACACTACACCACCCCAGCCGAGTTCCATAGAGTTGCCCCGATCCCAATGGGGTGAGAGATTTGAGCTGATGGAGGCCCACCGCTGTTCGGGGCCTGACTACCTCCACCCTCCACCCGCACCACCGGATTCACAGTGACTAGTCTAGTCACTGTGCCCTATACGTCTGTATCTTTTCCCTTCTCTTTATTTTTCGTATTTGGTTAGTTTTTTCTGTTTTTGCGTATTGGTTGACTATGTGGTCAACTTTCCTAACAATGGGGACATTGTTCGGTTTTAAGTGTGGTGGAGTTTTACATGATTATGTGTCTATATGGTTGACCAGGTCTAGGTTTTTTAGGTTGTTTTCATTTTCTGTTTTATTTGAGTGTTTATCTTGAGTCAGCTGTGTGTTTTTTAGTATGGATTATGGTGAATTTTAAGATTTGTTGATGATTGTTGATGATGTTGAGAAGATGTGATGATGATCATGACAAATATATTTTGATGAACTCGATGTGTCGTTCTGTTGGACATTTATTTACCCTTTGCGAGGTTTGAGCCTTATGTTGTTTCTTGAGAGATATTGGTCGAAATCTTTGTTGATCAGAACTTACTTTGAGTCTGTTTTGAAATGAAGCGATTGAAGTTGTGATTTGTGAAAATGATTGAGGCATTTCTTTAACATAGCTTGTTTTAGCCTTTTTCATTGACCCTTGAACTTATATTTTCACTAGTAGGCCGTTCAGCCTTGAACCGTATTTTTTGTCAACCGATTCGAATGAATTAATTGAGATTTGACAGTATACTTGATATGATGACGGAGCTTTCTAATATGTGTTTGGAGAAGGTCGAGAACTTGTTGAGTTGCATTTTGAGTACCTAAAAAGAAATGGGAACTCGCAGGACGGACTAAAAGGATTCTACTCCGCTTACTTGTAGAATTTTTCACGAGTAATGAGTATTGGGAAACCAATCTAGGAAACTTGGATGACCTCCAATGTTTAAACCTAGAGAATGTCATCCTTACGTCTCAGTCTTGTTAGGAAAAAGCATACTCCCTTAAAAAAAAAAAGTCGAGTACTTAATTTGCATTTCATCTTGAGCGTTTATGAGTGTTGCATGGAGATTTTATGAGAATTATTGGTTTCATGTTGATTTTGGATAGGTGGTGGAGCATTCGAGTAGTTTATATGCTCGAGAATTTGATTGTTTATTTGAGCCGCTTAATCTTCATTTTGTCTTTCCCTTGTGTAAACTGCCTTTATTGCAACCCCAGAAGTCCTCTTGATTTACACTTCATAATTTTTATTGTTTTAGAGTATGAATAGACGATAAGCAAGCTTATGTTGATGCATGATGATCGACCAATTTGAGCGTATCCACTTCATATTTATGCAAGAAACTGAGTGAGGCATGTATGTATTATACTTCTGTGCTTGAGAGTTTGTCTTTCAAGGCGTTGCATTCGAGTTGTAATTGAGGTGTGCTATATTGGTCATTGGAAGTCTCCTCGGCTAAGTTGATTAATTTGAGACTTGTCTTATTTGAAACTGTTATCCGTGCTCGTTTGCTTGTTTTCGTTTCTTTTCGTGTCTTTTTCTTCGGGACGAACAAAGGTTTAAGTGTGGGGGAGTTGTTTGTCCCACTTTTGTTGCGTTTTTCGTCATTATTTTTCTTTTCTTTTTCCCCCATATTAGGTCTTTTAGTTGGTTTTTAGTTCGTTTTGTAGTTTATTTCGTGGTTCGCTCTATTTTAGTCTTTCGTGTGTTTTTCGTGTATTTTTCCGGTTTTTCTTTGTTTATGGTGTGTAGGTCGGAAGCCTCGGGAGGACTGGATTTCAGGTGAAAGTTAGTCGGGCAAGCTTAATTAAATAGAGGAGTTCGTTGGGATCACACAGGAAAAAGCGGAATCGAATTCCGAGTTGAAACGAACCCAAACGGACCCGAGAAGCAAAGTCCAGCAGGCTGCCAGAGCTTTAGCGCCGCTAAGGCACACAGGATAGCGGCGCTACACGGTACTGGCTCGAACAGCTAAGGAGCCTTAGCGGTGCTAAGGCACCTTAACGGCGCTAAGGGACCTTAGCGGCGCTAAGGTCTGTTTTACAGCAGGCACAATTTTTGTGGATTTTGAAGGGGAGAATGTTATATATCGAACCTAGGGCTTATTTTCCTCAGCCCAGACATTGTATTTTCGTTTTTTCACCTCCAGAACACATTCTTCACTTGGTTTTGCTTAGATTTCAATCTTGGATAGTGAAAACTCCAAGATTAGACTTTG